GAGTTTATAACACATGTCAAACTTAAAACAGTTCAAATGAAAAATATTTATATAAACAAGAAGTAACTTTCATTCAATTACAACTAATACTTTTGTTAATTGATTGGTTATGATGATACTTATGAAGCCGATATCACAGCAAGTTTTTTGGAATCAGATAAAGATAAACATGTAATGTGTGTTGCACTGTTGAATCAGTAATAACGCCTGCTACCCGATTACTGACCACTGAAGGAAACACCCCACCACATTGTAACAAAAGCTGTTTCCTGACATATGTGTGTAGCATACCACGGTACAGAATGAAATGAAAGTGACGAGCTTTCATATATGTGTGTAGCATACCACGGTTTAGAATTAAATGAAAGTGACGAGCTGTCAGATCTTTGTGTAGCATACCACGGCACAGAAAGAAATGAAAGTGACGAGCTGTCAGATCTTAGTGTAGCATACCAGGGTACAGAATGAAATGAAAGTGACGAGTTTTCATATATCTGTGTACCATACCACGGTTTAGAATTAAATGAAAGTGACGAGCTTTCATAAATTGTGTACCATACTACGGTATAGAATCAATAAAAGCGACGAGCTTTCATACCTTTGTGTATCATACCGCGGTAAAGAAATAAATGAAAGCGTCGAGCGATTATGTATTTGTGTATCATACCACAGCAGAGAAAGGAATGAAAGCGACGATCTTTCATACCTTCGTGTATTATACCACGGTACAGAAAGAAATGAAAGCGACGAGCTTTCATACTTTTGTGTACCATACCGCGGTATAGAATGAAATGAAAGCGACGAGCTTTCATACATTGTGTAGCATACCACGGTGTAGAATTAATGAAAGCGACGAGCTTTCATACCTTTGTGTACCATACCACGGTACAAAATGAAATGAAAGCGACGAGCTTTCATTGCATTGCATTGCATATAATTCTGCCGGCTGTTGTCGGCTGTGAGTACAGTATCAAATGAAAGTATAGGTGATTTTTTAAATGTTGTCTCTGATCTTTATGTACTTCACAAGGTACACAAAAAACTAAATTTTCATTTCTTTGGGCACCGTGGTACACTTTATGTGGTACCACATAGTGGTACACTTTATGTGGTACAGAAAGAAAAGATTTCTCATATCTCTCTGTACCATGGTGTGGTACACAAATATATGATTTTCATATCTTTGTGTACTACGGTAAACTTTTATGTGGTACACAAAGATATGAAAAATCAATTAATTTTGTCTGGCTCTTGTCGGCCATCGTAGAAAAGCAATAGCATGCATTATATGTTCGAGTTGTGTATAATAACTTGACATATCACTAACATGCCACCGTGATATGTTGTAGCCGTTACTACAAACACATTGGCGAACCCGACGAATAAGACGAAGGCAGAAAACTCCGGACATTCTTCGGCTGTTGGTAAGTAAAACCTGTCACCAACCACATAAGGTTGAGGGGAAAGAAGAACGGTTACGACTTGTTGTTATTGAGACCACTAAAGAGTTTACAACACATGTCAAACTTAAAATAGTTCAAATGAAAAATATTTATGTAAACAAGAAGTAACTTTCATTCAATTACAACTGATACTTTTGTTAATTGATTGGTTATGATGATACTTATGAAGCCGATATCACAGCAAGTTTTTTGGAATCAGATAAAGATAAACATGTAATGTGTGTTGCACTATTGAATCAGTAATAACGCCTGCTACCCGATTACTGACCACTGAAGGATTTACCCCACACATTGTAACAAATGCTGTTTCCTGACATACACACTAGCCTAACTATGGTGTACAATTGCTGTTCCCTGACATACACACTAGCCTAACTATGGTGTACAATTGCTGTTTCCTGACATACAAACTGGCCTAACTATGGTGTACAATTGCTGTTTCCTGACATACCCACTAGCCTTACTATGGTGTACAATTGCTGTTTCCCGACATACAAACTAGCCTAACTATGGTGTACAATTACTGTTTTCTGACATACAAACTAGCCTTACTATGGCGTACACATGTTGTTTCCTGACATACAAACTAGCCTACCTATGGTGTCCAATTGCTGTTTCCTGGCATACAAACTAGCCTGACTATGGTATACAATTGCTGTTTCCTGACATACACACTAGCCTTACTATGGTGTCCAATTCCTGTTTCCCGACATACAAACTAGCCTAACTATGGTGTACAATTACTGTTTTCTGACATACAAACTAGCCTTACTATGGTGTACAATTGCTGTTTCCCGACATACAAACCAGCCTAACTATGGTGTACAATTGCTGTTTCCTGACATACCCACTAGCCTTACTATGGTGTACAATTGCTGTTTCCTGACATCCAAACTAGCCTAACTATGGTGTACAATTGCTGTTTTCTGACATACAAACTAGCCTCACTATGGTGTACAAATGCTGTTTCCTGACATACAAACTAGCCTAACTATGGTGTACAATTGCTGTTTTCTGACATACAAACTAGCCTTACTATGGTGTACAAATGTTGTTTCCTGACATACAAACTAGCCTACCTATGGTGTACAATTGCTGTTTCCTGGCATACAAACTAGCCTGACTATGGTGTACAATTGCTGTTTCCTGACATACACACTAGCCTAACTATGGTGTACAATTGCTGTTACAGGAGAACCTGTACTGGTTACAATTCTTAGCTGTGTGGCCTGTATGCTGATCATCGGAGACCGCCTTCAATAACCCGGATGTTACAACCGTTCAAATTTTTCTCTTCGTCTGTCATCTTCTATATTTAGAACTTTAATATATTTCAAAATCAAGCTTACTTTTGACTGCAACTAGTGACATAAGGAAACACCGACCATCAACAGATGAACCGTTTGTTGTGTTTAAATCACCTCCCTAATGCCTTTCGGCAAACATCGCTTGACTAATTACAACCATATGCCTTTCCGAGGATGCATGCTTCATCAATTTGCATCTAAGAAATAGAACCAATATTTTGTAAAAAAAACAACACCATTTCTTTTGAAAATGATTTTAAAAATAATATCAATAAAACCTAATTGGTCATGACTGAGCCTCTAAAATGCATGTTAAACATCTTAGAGGACATGTGTCCTATGACGTAAGGCAATAAAATGTATGCTGAATAATTACAATGTGAATATTTATTTGTCAATCAATAACACTATCTACTGACTTGCTGACTGTGACATTCAGACATAAATATTAAGTGTATCGCTACTCAAAAGCAGCAGTAGAGAAGAGTTTACGAGAAGATTATTGAACTTATCATTAAAATCATTGATATTGAATTTTTCATTATTCCACTTTTTTTTTTTCAATGAATAATAAACATCTAAAATATAATTTATGTTGAAATTCAAAAGACTTAACATTTTGAATGTATATTTTATTATTGAACTTACTATAAAAAACATTAATTTTAATTTAAATGTTCATTGGGTAATAAACATTTAAATCTTTAATTTGACATTAAAAGGCGTAATTTTGAAATATTTCACAACACCATATTTCAATTTAAAATTTTAAGTTATGAGCAATTATTTCTTCTTTTTCCATTTTACACATTTAATTAATAAACTGTGCTATATGAAGGATGAATTCAAATGCACTACCCCTGAAGCATACATTATCCAGTGGCATTCAAAAACTGACAAAGTTGCCTGACCGTACAAAATAGGGACCAAATTATCTGTTGCTGGCAAAAATACGAAAATACCGTACGGTATATTTACATTGAAACCCCAAGAAATAAAGATAATACGAACGTGTATAACGGAAAGAAAACAGTCTTCTGTCTTATCGATGACTCCCGTCATGTAAATCTAGTCAAATTTAAGTCTTGTCACGTCCCCAAGGCGAGACCCGGGGAAGTGGCAACAACACAACACACATTAAGGAGCATAATAGCAAACATCAACCTTCATATCAAAGAAACAGATAACATATTTCCGAATGAGATAATAAGGTTTCTGCGGCTGGTGACAACTGTTCTTTATTGCTAGTAAAGTCGTATGGGACCAAATATGTCAATCTGCGATTTAAAACAGGGTTTCGGCCTCCCGAAGATGATGAGAACGCAAAGATGAATGTAATTTCTTTGTTTCAATCATAAAACTCAAATTTCAAAGTGATATCACCGAGGCATTATACCACCGACCCTACAACTTGACCATTTTCATCATCACCCTTTACGAACCTCGTGATATAATTGTGTTCGTAGGCAGTGTGTGTATGTACTGTCAAGCGTTGATTTCATGTTTTGACGAACGATGTCGATAGCGTGCCAATGTTTGATTGATTAAAATAAACATCGTATCTGACGTCACACGTGTTCAGTTGTTTCTTGTCTGCAAAACGTCATCTGCTTTCAAAAAATCAACATGGCTTAAAGTTCAAGTTCCTTGGTATAACGACAAAAAATCGGAGACAGGGTGTTTTATTGTGGGGAAGTGTGTCGGGTTGTGGACTTTCACCAACCAAATCCTCAATTTGCCAAACAATTTGTGGTGAGGTCTATGTACAGTGGCGAAACCACACGGGCTTTTCTTCACCAACTTTTGGACGATATACCAGAGGACAACATACGTCCCTGGGGTAGTCAGGAGGATGACGCAGCCATTGCCTCCATCAGTCGAACATGTTAGCCCTGTAAGCCCTCCAGTTACTTGTATGTGCGCGACAGGTAATGTGACTCGGACACACGCCCCAGAGACCAGTGCAAATTTGCATATCGCATTATCTAGGGCATGTCGCCATATAAGACAGCAAAACTTTACAATTAGTTACATTTGACGTGGTAGGATAAAAGAAGCGGCCTTCGTTGATTATTTTTACCAACATTTTCTCACCCTCGTTATATATTCCACCATAATGCACGCACATATGTTGATTATTTCTTAAATATTATACAATCATTTGGATACACCGAACACTTACATAACTTATACTTGTGTTAGCGATGTAAATAATGACAGAACGCAAGAATGGGAAACATCAGTGACAGTATTTATATGCAAATATTTGTAGATTTCGTTGACATAAAAACAGATTGTCCATGGTATATTTCTGGTAAGCATGGCGTTTAGGTCGATGCATCTGTTAAGCCATACGAGGAATGGTTTGGTATTAGTTGTCTGCGAGCAGCTTGTTATTTCTGGTAAACCATGCGTGCGTTCATCAGGTTATTTCTGGTAAACAGTGTGTATTCGTCAGCAGTGTCCTAAAACACACCAAAATAGCTAATCAAATGCTTGACAATATATTCATATGTCTATTTATCATTCACGTGTAACGTTGAAGCACTTATTACATATATGCTAAACATTTAGGATTTTATTGAAAAAAAAATCAATAATAAAGTAATGAATCATACTTACCGTCAAACTTGCTGTGGCTCGTACGATAGCAACCAAAACAACTTACCTGATGCATTATAACTGTATATAGGGTAATTGTCATCGCAGTTTTTCTACCACCTTGTTTTGCCCATCGCCGTGACGAGGGCGAAGCTATTATAGCAGGGAAAATTAGTACACCACATAACAGCTGAAGGGTAAATAAACACTGGGCGAACATTGATTTTCAAGCAGAATGGCGAAACTTTCCTTATAGACAGTATACGACATTTGGTGAGAAATAGCATATTAAATTACTAACATGCATGATGATAACGACCTCCAGTATTCAATAAGATAATTAAATATGTAGGAAAATTATACATTCAATTTAATCTACTGTTGCACATAACGAATTTCATGGAAACAATGTGTCGACGCTCTTCCCCCTGAAGTTAGTTCTTGTTAAAGTAATAAAGTATTGAAACTTGTCCCTTGAAATATCATATGGCACTACCTATACAACTGGCAGATGGCGTCTCCATGTTTAACGCCTGCTAAGATGTACGATATTGTGAGCACCGCATCGCTGCTTTATATCACAACAACATACCCTTGTCATATGTTAGTATGGTAAGACATGACGACATACATACCCTTGTCATATGTTTGTTTATGCGCAGAAATAACGTCATAAATTTCATAAATTATAACACATTTGGTTGCTGCATCTGTCACCAAATAAAAATCCTGTATTGATTTAACATGCACCGACTCCAAACTCATGCACCTTTTAACCAATATTGAAATCAGCCCACCTTAAAATGGTTGGATTCAAATCGGTCAACCTTACAGAGACCCTCCGATCATCTCTGGGTCATGACAGGGGGCGCAACTCTTCTTATGTTATTTTCTGTAAACCTCTACATGTAACTTACAGTATGGTGGTATATATCTGTCATTGATATACGATTTACATACGAATATTTACATTTGCATGGCGTTCAAAAAATATAAAACCGCAGAATATGCCGACATAATCTAACCAAGAGTATGGTGATCTATATCTGCCATATACGACATAATCTAACCAAGTGTACGGTGATCTATATCTGACATAGAGTTATATACGACAAATCCAACCAAGAGTACGGTGATCTTTATATGCCATAGAGTTATATATGACATAATCTAACCAAGTGTACGGTGATCTATATCTGACATAGAGTTATATACGAAATAATCTAACCATGAGTACGGCGATCTTTATCTGCCATAGTGTTATATACGACATAATCCATGGCAGATAGCAGAATATGCCGACATAATCTAACCAAGCGTAAGGTGATCTATATCTGCAATAGAGTTATATACGACTTAATCTAACCATGAGTACGGCGATCTTTATCTGCCATAGAGTTATATGCGACATAATCTAACCATGAGGACGGTGAGCTTTATCTGCCATAGAGTTATATGCGACATAATATAACCAAGAGTAGGGTGATCTATATCTGCCGTAGAGATATATACGACATAATCTAACTAAGAGTATGGTGATCTAATACGACATAATCTAACCAGGAGTACGGTGATCTTTATCGGCCATAGAGTTATATACTACATAATCTAACCATGAGTACGGTGATCTTTATCGGCCATAGAGTTATATACTACATAATCTAACCATGAGCACGGTGATCTCTAACTGCCATAGCGTTATATACGACATAATCTAACTAAGAGTATGGTGATCTAATACGACATAATCTAACTAAGAGTATGGTGATCTATATCTGCCGTAGAGTTATATACGACAAATCCAACCAAGAGTACGGTGATGTATATCTGCCATAGAGTTTTATACGACAAATCTAACCGAGAGTACTGTGATCTATATCTGCCATATAGTTATATACGACATAATCCATGGCAGATAGCAGAATATGCCGACATAATCTAACCAAGTGTACGGTGATCTATATCTGCCGTAGAGTTATATACGACATAATCTAACCAAGAGTATGGTGATCTATATCTGCCAAAGAGTTATATACGACATAATCTAACCAAGAGTACGGTGATCTTTATCTGCCATAGAGTTATATACGACATAATCTAACCAGGAGTACGGTGATCTTTATCTGCCATAGAGTTATATACGACATAATCTAACCAAGAGGATGGTGATCTATATCTGCCATAGAGTTATATACGACAAATCTAACCAAGAGTATGTTGATCTATATCTGCTATATAGTTATATACGACATAGTCTAACAAAGAGTATGGTGATCTATATCTGCCGTAGAGTTATATACGACATAATCTAACCATGAGTACGGTGATCTTTATCTGCCATAGAGTTATATACGACATAATCTAACCATGAGTACGGTGATCTTTATCTGCCATAGAGTTATATACGACAAATCCAACCAAGAGAATGGTGATCTATATATGCCATAGCGTTATATACGACAAACCTAACCACGAGTCCGCTGATCTATATCTGCCATAGAGTTCTATACGCCATAATCTAACCAAGAGTACGATGATCTATAACTGCCATAGAGTTATATACGACAAATCGAACCAAGAGTATGTTGATCTATATCTGCTATAGAGTTATATACGACAAATCTAACCAAGAGTATGTTGATCTATATCTGCTATAGAGTTATATACGACAAAATCTAACCAAGAGTATGGTGATCTATATCTGCCATATAGTTATATACGACATAATCAAACAAAGAGTATGGTGATCTATATCTGCCGTAGAGTTATATACGACATAATCTACCCAAGAGTACGGTGATCTATATCTGCCATAGAGTTATATACGACATAATCTAACCAAGAGTACGGTGATCTATATCTGCCATAGAGTTCTATACGCCATAATCTAACCAAGAGTACGATGATCTATATCCGCCATAGAGTTATATACGACATAATCTAACCAAGAGAACGGTGATCTATATCTGCCATAGAGTTATATACGACAAATCTAACCAAGAGTATGGGGATCTATATATGCCATAGAGTTATATACGACAAATCTAACCAAGAGTACGGTGATCTATATCTGCCATAGAGTTCTATACGACATAATCTAACCAAGAGTACGATGATCTATATCTGCCATAGAGTTATATACGACATAATCTAACCAAGAGTACGGTGATCTATATCTGCCATAGAGTTATATACGACAAAATCTCAGTCGTAGTTTTTTGATAAGAAGATATTTGCATTTATTTATCCAGCACTGACTAGATATATCTTACATTACATACACAGAAATGTTTTATCTTTCCCAAGAAAACTAGACGTATATTTTAGATGACTGCATCATGTAGCAAATACAATTGATTTAAGTTTAAATACAATGGAGAAAAAAACCTTCCTTGCACCAATACACGTTATCAGATATGTTTCTATGATTATAACACAATAGCAATATTTTTGACATATATAACATGTTGCACACATAGCGTCATTTGTAATATGAGAGTGTTCCCCTTTAGTTCAAACTATATGTAAAACTTGAAGTCACGCAAAAAAAATTATAACAGGTTGCACGCATAGCGTTCTTGATAAAGTCACTTGCGTTAAAAAATCATTCATGCTAACAGGTTGAATGCAAAGCATTCATAAATAGGTCGCTTGCTATATAAAAGTTTTCCCTTTTTATATTTAAACCATGAAAAATAACTAGAAGTCACTCAAAAATAATTTACAATAACATGATGAACGCATAGCATTCACAATTAAGTCACTTGCTATATAAGAGTTTTCCCCCTTTGTGTAAAAACCATAAAAACTAACTAGAAGTCACTCAAAAACAAAAGTAATAGGTTGCACGCATAGCGTTCACGATAAAGTCACTTGCTAAATAAATGCTTTCGCCTTTTATTTTAAAACCATTCACTTTAATTCATCGAAATTATTTTTACAATATGACGTCATAACTTACCTTTCTTCGGCGGTTTAGTTGTCGTTGTTGTTGTCGTCGTCGATGTCGTCGTTGTAGGAGGCGGCGTCGTCGTTGTAGTAGGAACAACTGTATGATAAACACATAGAGGAGTTGTTAAATTACAATACCCTATGGTTCTCATAAATAAAATGTTTCCCATTTAAGAAAAGAGTACTCAATGTAGTGTTGATACAGACACTTATGATAATGAAATGCTGGTGTAAGAATGACGTGCAGTTTGTATCGTATTACCATATCATTTATGGCTTTGTCTGTCTGATATTAGAAATAATATAGATGTTGTGGTGCTTTTGTAAGGCGAAAATTGTAACATCGTCGGTCAGTCTCATTTGCTTGACAATTTGATATTAAAACAATGGCAAAATGCCAGAAGATTTTAGATATATACAAAATGAAATGTATTCCATTAACAAATATTTGGGAAAAAAGCGTACAAAATATAAGCTCCATTTTAATCAATTTCACTATGACGACAGACTTAACTACATTGTCAATTATTGAACATTCTTTAACTTCAACTTAACACTTCATGCTACATGTACCCGAGGCATCTCGCACATCATGTTTTGAAAATAAAATAATATTTTGGTAATAAAAATGACACCAAGGTCTAATTTGTTATAAGAAAAAGAACGTAATGAACAAAATAATCAGGATTGCATAATTATCAATTCATTTAATAGATAAACGGAATAAATCAAATGGTGTTGACTCGACAGTGTAGCCAAAATTCAGTGTTTAAATGAAATCACACATGTGTATATCTTTCAATTCTAGTTTTCAATATAAGCAATACAGTTACAAATGTAGTTTGTTTGTGATCGGTGAAATCTTAACTAACAATTATCAACTTCCAGAACGGTATATATAGCTCATTAATATTTACAAAAATAGTAAATATTTAAGAAAATAATGTTGAATGTAACCATCGCTGTGGCGTTATACACTGGTATTGACACTTCTTAACTGATAGATGTCAATGCTATATGTACATCAGTAACTACATTGACTGATGACGGTACACTTAGACCAAACATGCTTTCCTGGACTTGACGGGAAATTCCATGACAGGTCTCACATAGGGTGCAATTAACATTTTTTGCCTGAGAGCCTGATTAGGCTATATTATCGGAAAGTCTACAAGTCCTTCATTTTGAACATTCCCTGCCATGTTATTAGCCATCATTATGGAGTTCGTAGTGTATCCCTGTGTAATGACGATATGGCACGGTTTATTTGCATTTGATCTTTTTATTCCGTTGTGGGGTTTTTTTGTATCAATTCTCTGTTCGGATTTGTCCTTATATATTTATTGGCGATGTAGCTAGTATTTCTTTTTTATTCATTTTATCTGTAATGTTTGTTTTGTATCAATTCTCTGTTCGGATTTGTCCTTAAATATTTATTGGCGATGTAGCTAGTATTTCTTTTTTATTCATTTTATCTGTAATGTTTTTTGTATCAATTCTCTGTTCGGATTTGTCCTTATATATTTATTGGCGATGTAGCTAGTATTTCTTTTTTATTCATTTTATCTGTAATGTTTNTTGTGTATTAGCGATGTGGCTAGTATTATTTCTATGTCCTTGTGTATTAGCGATGTGGCTAGTATTATTTCTATGTCCTTGTGTATTAGCGATGTGGCTAGTATTATTTCTATGTCCTTGTGTATTAGCGATGTGGCTAGTATTATTTCTATGTCCTTGTGTATTAGCGATGTGGCTAGTATTATTTCTATGTCCTTGTGTATTAGCGATGTGGCTAGTATTATTTCTATGTCCTTGTGTATTAGCGATGTGGCTAGTATTATTTCTATGTCCTTGTGTATTAGCGATGTGGCTAGTATTATTTCTATGTCCTTGTGTATTAGCGATGTGGCTAGTATTATTTCTATGTCCTTGTGTATTAGCGATGTGGCTAGTATTATTTCTATGTCCTTGTGTATTAGCGATGTGGCTAGTATTATTTCTATGTCCTTGTGTATTAGCGATGTGGCTAGTATTATTTCTATGTCCTTGTGTATTAGCGATGTGGCTAGTATTATTTCTATGTCCTTGTGTATTAGCGATGTGGCTAGTATTATTTCTATGTCCTTGTGTATTAGCGATGTGGCTAGTATTATTTCTATGTCCTTGTGTATTAGCGATGTGGCTAGTATTATTTCTATGTCCTTGTGTATTAGCGATGTGGCTAGTATTATTTCTATGTCCTTGTGTATTAGCGATGTGGCTAGTATTATTTCTATTTCCTTGTGTATTAGCGATGTGGCTAGTATTATTTCTATGTCCTTGTGTATTAGCGATGTGGCTAGTATTATTTCTATGTCCTTGTGTATTAGCGATGTGGCTAGTATTATTTCTATGTCCTTGTGTATTAGCGATGTGGCTAGTATTATTTCTATTTTGTCTGTTACGGTTTTGTTTCTATATAACTTGATAGCCTCAACCTTTGCTATGGACTGGATAATAATCTAATATTGTATCTAAAATCTTTTGTCCTACGCCATACCCTATGTTAACCCTTAGCCTTAAATTGGTTCATATTTAGAGCTCCAAAATGAATATTACCCGGCCTCGTATATAACTTTTACCATGGAGTCTTATTATGAACTATTAAATACATGGTTTGTCCTAGATTAATCTTTAACGTTAGACCATGTCAGAAACTGAGTCTTTTAACCTAATATTTACCATTTAGCTATGTCAGGAACTATATAATACACGATAGGTTTTGAACCGAATATTTACCATTAAGGTATGTCAGGAACTATATAATACACGATAGATTTTTAACCGAAAATTTACTATTGAGCTATGTCAGAAACTATATAATACACATAAGGTTTTTAATCTAATATTTACCATTAAGGTATGTCAGGAACTATATAATACACGATAAGTTTTTAACCTAATATTTACCATTAATCTATGTCAGGAACTATATAATACACGATAGGCTTTTAACCTAATATTTACTTATGAGCTATGTCAGTAACTATATGATACACGATAGGTTTTTAACCTAATATTTACCATTAAGCTATGTCAGGAACTATATAATACACGATAGGTTTTTAACCTAACATTTACTATTGAGCTATGTCAGGAACTATATAATACACTATTGGTTTTTAACCTAATAATTACCATTTAGCTATCTCAGGAACTATATAATACACTATAGGTTTTTAACCTAATATTTACCATTTAGCTATCTCAGGAACTATATAATACACGATAAGTTTTTAACCTAATATTTACCATTAATCTATGTCAGGAACTATATAATACACGATAGGCTTTTAACCTAATATTTACTTATGAGCTATGTCAGTAACTATATGATACACGATAGGTTTTTAACCTAATATTTACCATTAAGCTATGTCAGGAACTATATAATACACGATAGGTTTTTAACCTAACATTTACTATTGAGCTATGTCAGGAACTATATAATACACTATTGGTTTTTAACCTAATAATTACCATTTAGCTATCTCAGGAACTATATAATACACTATAGGTTTTTAACCTAATATTTACCATTTAGCTATCTCAGGAACTATATAATACACGATAAGTTTTTAACCTAATATTTACCATTAATCTATGTCAGGAACTATATAATACACGATAGGCTTTTAACCTAATATTTACTTATGAGCTATGTCAGTAACTATATGATACACGATAGGTTTTTAACCTAATATTTACCATTAAGCTATGTCAGGAACTATATAATACACGATAGGTTTTTAACCTAACATTTACTATTGAGCTATGTCAGGAACTATATAATACACTATTGGTTTTCAACCTAATATTTACCATTTAGCTATCTCAGGAACTATATAATACACGATAAGTTTCTAACCTAATATTTACCATTAATCTATGTCAGGAACTATATAATACACGATAGGTTTTGAACCGAATATTTACCATTAAGTTATGTCAGGAACTATATAATACACATTAGGTTTTTAACCTAATATTTACCATTAAGCTATGTCAAGAACTATATAATACGCATTAGGTTTTTAACCTAATATCTACCATTGAGCTATGTAAGGAACTATATAATACACGATATGTTTCCTAACCTAATATTTACCATTAAGCTATGTCAGGAACTATATGATACACGATAGGTTTTTAACCTAATATTTACCATTAAGCTATGTCAGGAACTATATAATACACGATAGGTTTTTAACCTAATATTTATTATTAAGCTTTGTCAGGAACTATATAATACACTATAGGTTTTTAACCTAATATTTACCATTAAGGTATGTCAGGAACTATATAATACACGATATTTTTTTAACCTAATATTTATTATTAAACTTTGTCAGGAACTATATAATATACGATAGGTTTTTAACCTAATATATACCATTAAGCTATGTCAAGAACTATATTATACACGATAGGTGTTTAACCTAATATTTACCATTAAGCTATGTCAGGAACAATATAATACATGGTCTAACCTGAACATAACCCGAAGTCATGAAAACAAATGCCGCTTATTGTATAAAAGGTTCGAAATCTTCTCGAACCTCCCGAATAAATGACATGCATGACATAATATCCTAAACTTTTAAGAAACAAGATACAAGAAACTTTATTTAAAGTGGGACATATATATAAACAAAGAACATTAGCTCTTGAGAGCTAGTATTGCGACAAACATATTTAAAATAAAAGTTACACGTTATATCACAAGTAAAGGCGGATACTCTCATATACATTATTATCAAAGGGATTTAAATATTAATAAAAAGCAATAATAATTATCGCAGAAAAAGAAAGTTTCATATCACAGGTTTTTTAAGTGATTTGGAGCCCCCACCCTACAAAGGCCCCCGGGGCATGACACTTTTGATACAATAAATATATAAAAAAAAAAGTGCAAATATGAAAAGTAATAAATGTGATCACAGATAAGTAGTATTCAGATTAAGTTAATAAAAGACAAAGTTAATAGTGAATATTTGTATATCACACAAGAACAACTTAAGACATAAAACACTTTCATGTGGAATATACATAAAATGATAATATATCAAAAAAAATCAAATTAACAGAATACACTAATATAGTGTTAAATTAAAAAATGATACCGAAATCAATTAACAAAATTTGTCATTTTTTTCTTGTAATAAAACTTAAAAAAGAAATGAGACTTCTTATGAAATCAACAATCGATTTCCCATTTACTTCATATATCTACATCATATTGGTTTTCCTACAACTCACCATCGTCACAGCTCGCTCCACCATAACCCGTCACACACTGGCAGACGTCGCTCACACACGATCCACCGTTCTGGCATGCAGGAATACATAAACCGGATACTTGACAGCTAAAACCTGCAGAGAAACCCGGGGTGGATGTAACGGGCGGTACAATACAAATTCCTCCTTGAATTACATAAACATGAATATTTGCTCATACGAGATGAATCATGTTTAAACACGTACCGTGAAGTAGGATATATAACCGCAGGGATTATATTTTCCTGATTTAACGGGTCAAAATGTAATCGCGAAAATATTATCAGCAGAATATTATAACAAGAGTGAAGATGAGCCGCGAAAATTAATTCATAATGGTAATGACGTCACGAAATAATAAGTACGTGTTTGTAACGAATCATATACATCAGGAGTAATTCAAGGTGTTTGTGATAATATCACACATTTAATAGTTTCGTTTATGGTTTGTTTAACATGGTTCACTTTCTTGTTGTTGCTAAATATTCTGTTACAAAGCGTATTCATTTCCCTTATTTGAAAAAAAAAAACTATTTATAGTTCCTCCCGTGTCTAGATCGCGAAATCATAAACAAGAGCAAATATAATGTTCTAATTTTTGGTCAAAATCGCGAAAAAAATAATCTCGCTATTAGTGAATTGGCAACGCCTCCAAGGAAAATGAAATCAATTTGATAAGCACTATGATAATACATACTTTGAAACATAGAGAGATAAAACAAATTATATAAGAGCGTATCAGTGACTAACAAAACAACACATATAAAACCAACATACAGGTTCATATCGAAATGTACAGACAAATAAGGATCTCAAATAAATGCTAACATATTTATGCCATCGAATCAATATTTACGAATGCCAACGCTGTTTTAATATTTGTCCATAGTTAGAAAAGTTTGTCGGAGAAAATCACTAGAGCATATTAACTTACTGTACCATATAAGTAATAAACGTGTTTATTTCGCCATCACTTGAGATGTGTATTATCGTAGAACAAATCCTACAGCACATTATCTAAGTTATCTTATTATACAATATAAGTAATAATGGGCTTATTGATATTTTCCGGGATCAACATGAAGAGACTAGGAGATATACATGTAGGAAAAGGACCCCAATAAAACAGGCTAGGCTAGACTACTTTCTTGTGTCTGAATCTCTTTTAACCAGTATTCAAGGTTCAAGTATTGAGGCAGGGTACATAACAGACCACTCATATCCCATATTATAATTGAAATTGAACGAATTTATGAAAGGGAAGGGTTTATGGAAGCTAAATAACTCTCTTTTACAGGAAACTGAATATCATGACTTGGTTAAAAAAACAATTTTAAGGTTAAAGAATTTTACTGCCTGCCAATATATAATATTACTTGTTTGAAAGACATACCTTGGGAAGATTTACAGTTTACTATAAGTGATCAACTCAGAAGTTGGAGTTTATTGATGGAGCTACGTGGTGAGACAACTTCATATGCATCTTATAGGGGGAAAAAATAGAAATGTAAGGGAGAAGGAGCTTAGAGAAAACATACAGAAGTTGGAGTCCGAAGATATTGTTGATCTAGAAAAATTGGAAACAGAGAAAAAACAGCTTGAGGGTATTAGATAGGATAAGATTACGGGTAGTATAGTTCGTTCAAGGGCAAAGTGGGTAGAGGAGGGTGAAAAACCGACCAAATATCTTTTTAACTTAGAAAATAGGAATTTTGTTTCAAACATTATTCCAAAAATACAAAAGGACAATGGAGACGTTATAGTTAAGCAGGAAGATATACTGATAGAAGTTAAGAACTTTTATGAAAGCCTGTATAAGGATAATAACTTGGATAATGTTGATCTTAATAACTTCTTAAAAAAATGTAATGTACCCAAGTTGACAAATAATGAATCTACAGATAACACTCCAGGAAGCTGGACGTTTTTTTTTAAATATAAAAATTAATAAAAGCCCAGGATCGGATGGTTTTACTACTGAATTTTTTAAATGTTTTTGGAAGCAGATAGGTTGTTTTGTGGTACGGTCAATTAATTTTGGCTATTCTTCTCGGGAGTTATCTGTCGCTCAAAGACAAGGAATTATAACTTGCATTCCAAAAGGGGATAAACCAAGACATTGTTGAAAAATTCGCGACCAATATCATTATTGAACATTGTGTACAAAATAGCATCAGAGGTTATTTCTTCTAGAATAAAAACAGTTTTATATAAGCTAATTAGGTAGTGATCAAACAGGTTTTTTAGCTGGTCGTTATATTGGAGAAAATACTCGTCCTGCTTATGATATTATGCAGTATACAGAAGATCAGAATATCCCAGGAATGTTACTTATGATTGATTTTGAGAAGGCATTTGACTCTGTCTCTTGGAAATTTGTGGATAATGTTTTTAAATATTTTGGCTTTGGGAATTTGTCACCCTTCTTTCATATTGGAAGGGGATGTCGTCAAGGCGCCCCTTTAGCGCCATACATTTTATCTTATGTGCGGAAGTTTTATCAATCAGGTTAAAGATAACAAAAATATTAAGGGTGTAGAAATCAAAGACTGTCCTATCCTAATTTCCATGTACGCAGATGACACCGCACTTATATTAGATGGCTTTGAAAGATCACTGAGAGAAGTACTTAATGAATTAAACAGTTTTCTAAAATTTCCGGATTAAAGATTAATGTTAGCAAGACTCAAGTTATTTGGATTGGCAGTATGAGATTTAATGATGTCAGCTTTTTACCAGAAATGAACCTAGTATGGGGAAAGGACAAATTTACCTTATTGGTAAAAGAGTTCAGCTTGAATTTACATCAGATACCGAAGCTTAATTACGACAAAAAAATCATTAAACTGAAAGCTCTAATTAGAACCTGGAGTAGAAGGTCATTGACACCTATTGGCAAAATTCATGTTATAAAATCACTTATGCAGTCTCAGTTCAACCATCTATTTATTGCTCTACCTAACTCAGATGCTAATTTTATATCAACTCTGAATTCTATCCTGTTTGAGTATATGTGGAACAGTAAGACTGACAAAGTAAAGAGGGGTGTTATTATACAAAACTATGTTGATGGGGGATTGGAAATTGTTAACTTAGAGGCTTTTATTACTTCTCTGAAACTGAGTTGGGTCAAGAGACTTTTCCTTAGTGAAGGTAAATGGCAGCATATTATTAAGTCTATTGTAGATATTAACCTACTTGCTTATGTTGGGGATGACTGTTTACAAACATGTTATAAAAGATGCAATAACCAGTTCTGGAAAGATATTCTGAAGGCATGGGAAAGAATAAGAAAGGCTGAGAAGGAAATCCCATATTGAAAAGGGAAAGAGGTCATGAAAACTCCAATATGGTTTAATAGACAAATATGTGTTGGTAGAAGGTCAGTATTTTACAGAGAATGGTATAACAAAGGTACAGTTATAATCAGTGATTTATTCAAGAAGGATAACTCTTTCTTCAATTTTCCGGATTTTATAGATTTATTCCAAATAAACACAAATTTTCTAACTTTCCATGGTGTTATGGCTGCAGTAAGACAATTTTAAGCAGGTAATGAGATGCCATTTTTAAAAATTTCTTTTCCATATATTCCAGTTAATCTTGAAAGTTTTATTTTCTCTGCTAAAGGCTCAAAACGTTTTTACAACACACTGGTAAATAGAAAAACAATTCCAACTGGACAGGTTAAATGGAATGTTGAACTTGACATCAATGACCAGTACTGGAAACGAATACATCTAATCCCTTTCAAAGTAACTTCTAATACAAAGCTACAATGGATTCAGTTTCGAATTTCGCATCATATACTGACAACATTTTTTTTTTTTTTTTTTTTTTATCTAAAGTAGGTATCTCAGATAATCCTCTATGTACTTTTTGTAATCAAGTTGAAGAAACTATAGTGCACTTATTATGGGAATGCCAAGAAGTTCAGTCCTTTTTGCAAAGTTTTGAATCTATCCTAGATGCATTGCTAATTCCTTTCCAATACAATAAAATCACTTTCATATTAGGATTGTTTACACAAACAGAACGGTTTAATAAGAGCGATAACGAAATATTTTTAATAATTAAGCAATACATTTACAGTTCTAGATGTAACAATAGAATGTTGAATAACAACTCTTTAATTATTAAAATCAAGGAGCATTACACTGTACAAAGTTATATTGCAACTGCTAAAGGTGAATGCTATATGCAGAGATTTACTGCATACTGGGAAAAATGGATGCGGCTAATAGAGCTTGTGGACTAATTTTAAATACAAGTGTAGTTATAAAGATATACGTTCACACATACACATGTATATTTTGAATATATGTTAATTATGAATTAATTCTATTGAAACTGCCCAGTACTCTGGCAATATATCTTGCTGGTTCTGGTAATATATTTTTAAGTACTATATGAGTATAGTTTGACATCCCTGTCTCTGGTATCTATCCCAAGAATTCATCAATATGATATTTTTTGAAACAGAATATCTATGCCTATTCATTCCTTTTCTTTTTCCTTTCTTCTCTCTTATTTCTCTTTTCTTCCTTTTCGACAATATTATACACATATCAGATAAAGAAATTACCGGAGTTTTATCTTTTTGTAGATAGAGTGCATGTGAGTGTGTGTGAGTGAAAGCGTATAGGAGTGGGTATATCTGTTCGTGCTTTTTAATGAAGTGAAGTACATGATTTGGTTCTGAAATAAATTATAACATGATGTGGGTTATATTGTCCGTCATAAAATGTGTATACATGTAATAATATATTAAAAAGTAAAAGTGTTATGCTGATCTTCCTCATCATGAATATGTTAATCATGATTGTTGAGTGTACCAACTAAACAAATGGTGTTGCAGTTTGGTTCAGTGGCTGTCTGTTGAGGTGTGTTGCTGATGACAAGCATTGTATGGATGATGAAAATGACGTTGAGGATGATGATGATGGATATGACGAACGGATAGTTTGAACGTTTAGGATCAGGATGCTGATGAGATAGTGATGCTGATGATGATGTTGATGATGATGATGATGAATGTGATGACGATGATGATGATGATGATGATGATGATGATGATGATGATGATGATGATGATGATGATGATGATGATGTTGACAATTCTGAGAATGAGGATGATGATTATGTGGAAGATGATAATGGTGATGATGATGATTAATGTGAGGAGGAGGATGATGATGATGATGATGATGATGATGATGATGAATGAATTAAGTGTCAAAATGTGTGAAAATGAAAATACCTGTTCTGTACCTATATTATGAAAAACTATTGGAAAAATAAATTGTTGAAAATAAATAAAATATATATATATATATTAGTAATAAACGTGTTTTTGTCGCCATCATTTGATATGTGTTTTATCGTAGAAAAAATCCTACAGCACATTCTCTAAGTTAACTTACTATACAATATAAGTAATAAACGTGGTTTTGTCGCCATAAGTTGAGATATTTTAACGTTGAAATTAAAATATGTCTAAGTCTGCTGACTATACAGTGTAAGATATCAACATGTTTCGTTCCTTCAGATATACTACCTCTTACAGTATGTCGTTATTATTGGCAAGTCACACAATAACATGATATCTTACATAGGTCTGCCAACGCCGTATACACATCTAACATTTGATCACACCTCTGTATACAAAATCAAATGCACAACACTGCAACACATGAACTAATATATTTTTATTTATATACAGCCGGAGAAGGAATAACGACAGTGCCGACAAAGAAAGTTGTCAATTTGTTTAAGGGCGATCCACCTCTTATCAACACAGAAACATGAGCTTCCACATACCACAACATATAACAGAGATAAACAGTCAATATGAACCAATAATTCAGCAAAAATACATAAACAAAAACCAGTAGTTACATATATAAAATATCCTCTCGGTTTGCTTGTAACCGAAGGCTAGTTATTGTGAAAAAAATATATTGAATACGTGAGGTCAAGTAAATTAATACACAAAATCTTATATGGTTTATACTCATTATTACATATGAAAGCATTCATATATTAATCATTAACTTGCTTACCTATAATCAGTAGTAGGACCACGAATCTTAGTGTTGGGTTCCTCATCACCAGAAATATGTTATCTGTAATGGACAACTTTACACTGTAAGTGATATCATTGTCTACAGTACTAAGTCTAAATATAACTCTCTATAAGTGCAAGATTGTCTGACATAAAACCGTCGAAGATGTATTGTGGTTTCGCGTGGACAGGACGATAAAGGAGCTAATTATTGACATGTAATCAATGACAGCGCACACTATACAGACACAGCACAGGTAACGTATTAGGACTGTTACGCATTAACAAAAGGGGCGTGGTTGTTAACACGTGACTTCACAAGGTCAATATTGTGAGGAATTAAACAGACAGGGTCACAATAAAATAGACCCAGTGGTAATTATAACTCGTATTAGATATGTTAGATAATCACTTTAAACGGTGACTGATTGATATGTGTTAAATAATTATTAGAAGAACATCATTGATAGATTTATCTTACGTATGACAAGTTAATTAACCACAGCGGTACATACATAGCAGGTTAAAATCAAGGTATGTATGATCGTACACGCTTACTACAAATAATGCCCCTCTATTTAGCAGGTTAAAACCAAGGTACGTATGGTCGTACACTCTTATTACAACTAATGCCCCCTATACAGCAGGTTATAAACACGATAGGTATGGTCCTACACTCTTATTACAACCAATGCCCCCTCACTCGGAGATACAATTTACTCTCATAAGCTGTTATATTATATAATGTAAACAAATCTTACTCAATTTTATATAATGGGAACACAACGTTCATGCAATGAGTATATTATCTGGGAAATAAGAAAATTACTTCATGTTCAGTCGATTCCATATACACCTACACATAACCAAATACACGAAATCACATTAAAGGGTTTTGGAGAATGGCTAATATAAATTCAAACGCGATGTAATGTTTCCATCATATAAAACACGATAGCGTTTCAAATTGTCATTAAAGTCCCATAACAATTTCGAAACCTTGAAATGAAATGTGATATAATTTTGAAGTTTCATATTGAAAAGTCTCAATGTTGTTTTACATCAAAATGTAATCACAAGTAAAGATCTGGTATCATAGAATAAATCTGTTACAGAAAATAAAGGAACAAATGAAGGTCATATTTTATCATATGCTTTTGGTTCAAAAGTCAAATTGAAAAATATACGTAACTGTAAAATAATCCGGAGATTACGTATAATTCGGAAAGAGTGAATAACATCAGAACTTCCTTTGCCATTTTCATTGTAATCTTGAAACATATAATTATGTGTGGGGGTCACCGTGAGTCAGTCTAACAGTACTAGTATATACCCTGTGTGTGGTAGAGATAATACGTCAACCTGAAACCAAGTGTCAGTCAATGACAGACAACTTTCTATGTGTTTTCACCAAACTCGTTCGTCTCCATCGGTAAGTGAATGTAATCTAGTGATCACATCCGACCACTTCAATGAAACTGTCAGTCATGACAGAGTACATAAAACCCCTGTTTGGTGGAGATTAGAACACAACATATTACATATAACCTCTGTTTGGTGGAGGTTAGAATACAACATATTACATATAACCCTGTTTGGTAGAGGTTAGAACACAACATATTGCATATAACCCTGTTTGGTGGAGGTTAGAACACAACATATTACATATAACCCTGTTTGGTGGAGGTTAGAACACAACATATTACATATAACCTCTGTTTGGTGGAGGTTAGAACACAACATATTATATATAACCCTGTTTGGCGGAGGTTAGAACACAACATATTACATATAACCCTGTTTGGTGGAGTTTAGAACACAACATATTACATATAACCCTGTTTAGTGGAGGTTAGAACACAACATATTACATATAATCCTGTTTGGTGGAGGTTAGAACACAACATATTACATCTAACCTCTGTTTGGTGGAGGTTAGAACACAACATATTACACATAACCCTGTTTGGTGGAGGTTAGAACACAACATATTACATATAATCCTGTTTGGTGGAGGTTAGAACACAACATATTACATCTAACCTCTGTTTGGTGGAGGTTAGAACACAACATATTACATATACCCTCTGTTTGGTGGAGGTTAGAACACAACATATAACATATAACCCTGTTTGGTTGAGGTTAGAACACAACATATTACATATAACCTCTGTTTGGGGGAGGTTAGAACACAACATATTACATATACCCCTGTTTGGTGGAGGTTAGAACACAACATATTACATCTAACCTCTGTTTGGTGGAGGTTAGAACACAACATATAACATATAACCCTGTTTGGTTGAGGTTAGAACACAACATATTACATATAACCTCTGTTTGGCGGAGGTTAGAACACAACATATTATATATAACCCTGTTTGGCGGAGGTTATAACACAACATATTACATATAACCCTGTTTAGTGGAGGTTAGAACACAACATATTACATATAACCTCTGTTTGGGGGAGGTTAGAACACAACATATTACATATAACCTTGTTTGGTGGAGGTTAGAACACAACATATTACACATAACCCTGTTTGGTGGAGGTTAGAACACAACATACTACATATAACCCTGTTTGGTGGAGGTTAGAACACAACATATTACATATACCCCTGTTTGGTGGAGGTTAGAACACAACATATTACATCTAACCTCTGTTTGGTGGAGGTTAGAACACAACATATTATATATAACCCTGTTTGGCGGAGGTTAGAACAAAACATATTACATATAACCCTGTTTGGCGGAGGTTAGAACACAACATATTACATATAACTCTGTTTGGTGGAGGTTAGAACACAACATATAACATATAACCCTGTTTGGTTGAGGTTAGAACACAACATATTACATATAACCTCTGTTTGGGGGAGGTTAGAACACAACATATTACATATACCCCTGTTTGGTGGAGGTTAGAACACAACATATTACATATAACCCTGTTTGGTGGAGGTAAAAACACAACATATTACATATAACCCTGTTTGGTGGAGGTTAGATCACAACATATTACATATAACCCTGTTTGGTGGAGGTAAGAACACAACATATTACATATAACCTCTGTTTGGTGGAGGTTAGAACACAACATATTACATATAACCCTGTGTATACTGTAACATGCCTCGAAAGTGCTGCATAACAGGTAACCCAACAGACCATTGGTGTGTACATAGCGGTTATCTAATTAAGGCACGTATATCTAATTTCATGAACTGATTTTTCCTTGACTTGAACTTATTAAATGTATACAAAACGACACATTACATAGAACCTATGATCTGTGTTGGTTACGATACGACAAACAATATCTACTTTCTTTTCTGTGTAGGTTACAAAAAGACATGTTGCATATCATCTCTGTCCTCTATGGGTATGGACATGGTATATTTATTAAGGCATCATCCTATACTAACTTGATTGAATATTTGTATCACTAGAAAAAATATGAAATACACTTGAAGCTACCAAACACATACATGTATACAGACATATTTGTATTACTATTATATATCATTTCCCATTTACATACGCGATGTATTGCCCATTTCAAATACTTCTTAAAGACATTTATTTTTAATGTTATATCTTATATCATATCATTATATATTGTTACAGACGCAATATATTACCTATTAAATATCATTATACATGATTATATACGAAATGTATCATATACCACATGTCATTACAGGCAGTTACTACCAGTAAAATATCATTAAAACTGTTACAAAGTGATGTGCTATCTGTTACATGTTATTCTGAGTACAGACGCGTTGTCTAACCTAAACAGAACGTTGATCGCACGTTGAAAACTATTTCGCAATATGACTGTCTGTGCAATTCACTTCAAGTGTTTGCCATTACATTACATGGCATTATTACATACAAAATCTTTAGGATTTTTTTTATTAAATCACACAATAAAGAGTAAAACGAAGGTATACGAAGACTACATCTTTATTGGTTTAAACCCCCCCCCTGTGTAATTAGTTGTGAATAAAATGAAACTTAAATGACTCAGATTCAAACCTAAGTGCTATTTAAATGTCACAATGTGTAACGACATATTACGTCAACTGCGACACAAACTTGCAGTTTACAAATGGATGTGACATTACAAGGTTTTACCGAGTAACCCTACCTTAGACTTGGGCGACCAATGGGATACTGGTACCACATTGTCCGATAACACCTAGGATACTGTAAACGTGAAGCATTTCGCTAAGTGGTAATGTTCGAGTTGAGTAAATTAATGCCAAAATATCCATACGCGAAGGTTTATTTATATATTATATAGATGAAAATTATAAAGAAAATATAGATTTCAGAATTTTTGCTAATGCTAAAATGTCCTCACTACGATCAGTTAAAAGGGTCACAACGTGAAAATTTCAAACTGCGAAATTTTCAATTTTTACAGTATATGAAAACTGTAAAAACAAAAACGCCGAGATAGAACATATAAACATTGTATACAAATCTGGTAGCGTTTAAATGAAATAAACTAAGTTGAAGTAAAAGGTATTTACTATAGCCAAGTTGTTTAAATTGGAAACGTTGTAAATTTGTTCTATTCATTATTTCATTATCCCACCCCCCCANTTACCCCCAACCAAATTCCAACCCTGCAGAATCAAAGGATTTGTCTATGAATTATTAGATATTCTGTTATCATTGCGATATTGCAACATTTGGGTTATCTGTTCTTTCTTTTGGGCGATGTCTCCTGAGTCACTTCTGGTTAACCTGTTATAAGAATAACATGATGGAGGGTCAGACACTCCAGTGAGATGACACTTTATCATGAGTCTGGAGTGGCCCCACCACCCGTAGATATCGCTGTTATATGTCACTCCAGTGAGATGATACTTTATCATGAGTCTGAAGTGGCACCACCATCCGTAGATATCGCTGTTATAAGACACTCCTGTGAGATGACATATTACCAGGAGTGTCTGAAGTGGCACCACCATCCGTAGATATCGCTGTTATAAGACACTCCTGTGAGATGACATATTACCAGGAGTATGGAGTGGCCCCACT